AGAACAGTGTTCACAGTCCTCCCCAGCAAGCTAGAACACCCCTGGAACTCTCTAGTTATCCTCATCCTCTTTTTCAGGGATGCTCGTGGCCCAAACATCGAAAACACACTGAATAAAAATGATTCAGACTCACCAACCAAATGTTTGGGCCTTTGAATGATTTATCCTTTCTCACAAAAGGACGTTATGCAGCTCATACCCTGAGCCCCTCAAAGCAGATGGCCAAAGGGAGTCACGTGCCATCAGAGACTGTCAAAGAGAAAAAACTTCAAAATTATATCTCTTCCACCAGAGCCAGCACTTGGGCTCAGGTTCACCTTTTGCCCAGTACCTCGCCATCAAGACTGTTCATTAAATCGCCTAAACGGTGAACACAGTGTCGTTCATCTGTTTATGGAACAGGTTCCTCTACCCAAAGGATCTCACCAATTTCCTTGATTCTATAAATTATCACTTTTCCACAATCTGTGCCAATGGAATGCAACAGTACTGTACTGTAGACTCAGTACGGTCATCATGGGTATCTGGCTTTGGAAGGAATTTCAGTGCTGAAACATGAATGCAAGTCTCTCATTTGCAGGAATTCACTGCATTCTGCAGCAAGGGAACTTGCTCACTGCAGAAGGAAGCCCTGATCAGGGCTGGGAAATGCTTCTCCCCTGATCCTGATGCACCCTCCCCACACCATCTGATAACCAACCATGTGCCTGCAGCAGAGAGATGGCAAAAGGGCCCCACGCCCCATTCGCCGTCTACCAACCCCTCAGGGTTCCCTGCAGCTCTGCATCCCCTCCCCTTCAAACTGAGCAGTTCTGTGTCTTGCTCTGCTCAAAGAATGAGGCAGCAGTGCCAGCCTGCCGGTTCAAGCTTAGTCTCAAAAAGCATGGGACGGTTTTGCTTGCTCTCTGGGAATCCAGCCACCACCAGGACAAGCAGGCCAGGGCAGCCTGCTGGGAGAGTGAGGGGACCACAGGAAGAGGGTTCAGTCCAGCATCCAGGCGGCCGACCCCCAGCCAACCAGCCGGCAATCTGCACGCAGGTCAACAAGTCCAGCCAGGCTCACCCAGGCCTAATGAACCAACCAAGTTGGGCCAACCCACAGGGGTGGGAGCTAAGTCAATGGTGGTTGTTCTAAAGCACGGGGTTTGGGGGTACCTTGTTACACATGCAGGGCCCTCTCTCCTCCTGCCCTACGAAGGCTCCAATATCTCACACTCAAACTGTTCTTTTCCTTATAAGGGGAGCGAAGAAATTATTTTGCTTGCTCTCTGGGAATCCAGCCACCACCAGGACAAGCAGGCCAGGGCAGCCTGCTGGGAGAGTGAGGGGACCACAGGAAGAGGGTTCAGTAAAGCATCCAGGTGGCCGACCCCCAGCCAACCAGCCGGCAATCTGCACGCAGGTCAACAAGTCCAGCCAGGCTCACCCAGGCCTAATGAACCAACCAAGTTGAGCCAACCCACAGGGGTGGGAGCTAAGTCAATGGTGGTTGTTCTAAAGCACGGGGTTTTGGGGTACCTTGTTACACATGCAGGGCCCTCTCTCCTCCTGCCCTACGAAGGCTCCAATATCTCACACTCAAACTGTTCTTTTCCTTATAAGGGGAGCGAAGAAATTAATTCTTTCTGAGAGTTGAACTAGGTGTGGGTAGAAAACACTAGACTCCATTTCCCTTTCAACTCCTCCACTGCGTAGCCAACCCATACTTTATTATTAAAACAAGGCACTTTATGTCCCAGCTCTTGCCAAGGTTTCCACCAACGACACAATATAACCAACATTTAATACCACAGCACACCACACAGATCAGAAAGAAGTCAGGTCATTATTTCACAGAAAGATTTGCTTAAACAAACCAAGAAAAAAGTTTGTTGTCAAATATAAGTTTAATAATCTCTTTATCACATTCCCCAGTTTTTCATTACTGTCTTCATTTCATCCTGTTTACATCTGTCATACACAACTCTATAATACACAGACACAGAGCTATATTTGCTATCCATTTCCTATCATTTACTTGTCTTTGGATCAATATAGAATTAGCAGGGATCAGCGTGGGAAAGAATTCTACCTTTTCCTGAAAGTAGATTCCTTTTTTTTTTTTTGAAAGTAGATTCTTATGTGTTTATTTAGCACCTTTTATTTAAGGAGCTCAAGATACTTTAACATTCACTGTAGCATTCTTTTGTTATTTCCAAGTAGGGAAAGTGTCAAAAATTACCATTAGTGCCTTTCTGTAGGAAAAATTAAAAAAAAAAAAAAACAGAGAAAGGTAAAGTATAAGTGAGATGGTGACAGTCACAGGAGAAACTTGGGTCTTTAGCTCTGCCTTCTCCTCAGTGAACTACAATATAACAAAAGGTATAATAGTTACTTCCATTTTTATAACATCTCTCTTTGGATGGATGAGAAAAGCCAGTGCAGACAGTAAATTCTCACCAACGGATCATTCCGGCAATAAGCTTATTTTCTGCCATTTTTCATGCCTGCTAAGGAGCCACAGAAATTATAGAGCCACCTCTGCTTCTCCGTTAAAAATCATAATTGACAGCTACTATTCTAGCATCTCCAACAGACCTGCAATCAATAGGGAGAAACCCCTGATCAATGGTCATTCCCTTCAGCTGGGCATTTGAGGTCATTCAAGTCTGGACAGTGACTACTATTAGCGCTTTCAAAACCTACCAGATCCACAAAATCAATTTTAATATGCTCAGGCATTGTACGGAGAAGGCAATGGCACCCTACTCCAGTACTCTTGCCTGGAAAATCCCATGGACGGAGGAGCCTGGTAGGCTGCAGTCTACCGGGTCTCGAAGAGTCGGATATGACTGAGCAACTTCACTTTCATGGTTCACTTTCCTGCAATGGAGAAGGAAATGGCAACCCACTCCAGTGTTCTTGCCTGGAGAATCCCAGGGACGGGGGAGCTTGGTGGGCTGCTGTCTCTGGGGTCGCACAGAGTCAGACAAGACTGAAGCAACTTAGCAGCAGCAGCAGTAGGCATTGTAACTTTAGTATTTGAGGAAAACAAATGCTAACTGGCCACAATAGATGAAACACCCCAGGTAACTCCTTTCAACCTACTCACAATGTATCTTTCCTCACAAGAGCACTGATGCTGAGAGAAAGCATCTCTATAATAAATTCTCTTAAGTTCACAATATAAGGATTTGGTTTTTAATTCAGATGCATGGAAAATAACAGGAAAGTTTTCCACTTCTGCAAGGATAAACTACAGACACACATTTAGGAAGCAAATGGGGCCTATTGCCTAAACACATTTATGCTATTCTTGTTTAGAAAGAAAAAATGCACATCTTTATTCTTCCTTTCTTGAACTTTTGCAGCACCTTTTTTTTTTTCACTGAGGCCATCCCAAAGCCTACTCATTTTCCACATGTTTTTCTCATTCTTAAGAATGAGAATGCCAAGTGCAGCAAGCTGGAGTTTTAGAGATTTAGTTACCCAAGTTTTGCTGCCTCTGCTGGGATGGGTATGCACATTCATCTTGGCATATGGATGGGGATGAACCATTTTGAGATGGATTAAAGGAGTCAGACACAAATTGCAGCTTTGGGCTGCCTCAAAGTTGACACACACTTAAAAATATTTAGGGAGATTTTCCTTTCCTTTAGAAAATTGAGAACTCAGAAAAGTTTTCAAAAGCTCAAAGTCTCTCCTCTTGTTCCCCAAGCTTCCCGCCAGGTTTCACAGTCCTAGTCTTTTCCCAAAAGTGCTTAGTACAGACTCCTCGCCCCCTCCCCCTCCATCACTACACACAGGCGCCTACTTGTGAGTAGGGGTCAAAGAAATATAAAGAAGACCGTCACCCGTAGGAGAATTTTCAAGAAAATCGTTAAATAGTAAAAAGAAAGAAACGGGTGGGTGTGGTAGGGTGGGGTGAGGAGACAGTATCAAGAAAAACTTTATGAAAGCAGTGAAATACAAATATCAAATATGGAGAAAGGGTGGTGGGGGGGCAGGACACAGACCCGAATGGAACGGGACAGCCATAGAAACAGATGCCGTGAAGAGACAAACTACTGATAAGCTGATAACGGGAGGTTAAAGGAGAAGAAAAACTATGAAAGGAGGTAAAAAGCGGAGCGACTGACAGCGACGTGTACCTGTGCAATGCGCTGACACTTGACTGTGGACGGCAGAGTAGTAATAACGTACATTTTTTTCCCCAGAAAGTCCTCGATTCCATTTAAGCAAGGTGGACGAAGGACGCCCGGCCATTTCACGCAGCGGTACCGAACGCAGGAGCGTGAAGGCGCAGACCCTGGCCCATGGCCCCATTAGTACAGACTCCTCGCCCCCTCCCCCTCCATCACTACACACAGGCGCCTACTTGTGAGTAGGGGTCAAAGAAATATAAAGAAGACCGTCACCCGTAGGAGAATTTTCAAGAAAATCGTTAAATAGTAAAAAGAAAGAAACGGGTGGGGTGTGGTAGGGTGGGGTGAGGAGACAGTATCAAGAAAAACTTTATGAAAGCAGTGAAATACAAATATCAAATATGGAGAAAGGGGGGGGGGGCAGGACACAGACCCGAATGGAACGGGACAGCCATAGAAACAGATGCAGTGAAGAGACAAACTACTGATAAGCTGATAATGGGAGGTTAAAGGAGAAGAAAAACTATGAAAGGAGGTAAAAAGCGGAGCGACTAAGAGCAACGTGTACCTGTGCAATGCGCTGACACTTGACTGTGGACGGCAGAGTAGTAATAACGTACATTTTTTTCCCCCAGAAAGTCCTCGATTCCATTTAAGCAAGGTGGACGAAGGACGCCCTGCCATTTCACGCAGCGGTACCGAATGCAGGAGCGTGAAGGTGCAGACCCTGGCCCATGGCCCCGCCCCTCCGAGACCACGCCCCGAGACCACGCCCCCCGCACGCCACGCCACGCCTCCGGCTTCCGACGTGCGCGGCCCGCGTGTGGAGGCCCCGCGGTTCCGAGCGGCGCCGTGAATGCGGTGGGTGTTCGCCGCTCACCGCCGCGTCTCGGCCGCCCCTTGCTCCTGCACCGGCCGCGAGGCCTTGTCTGCAGCCGGGGCGCCATGCTCCTGCAGTCCTGGGCCCACGTCGAGGCCAGTGCACGCGTCCGGGAAGCGCGGCCCGAGGCCGGCGAACGAGTCGCGGCGCGGAGGGCTCTCCTCCTGCACCGGGTGGCCCGCTGGCTCCCCCGCGCCGCCGCCTGGCGCCGCCGGGCCCTCCTGCGAGTTCTGACTGACGTAGACCACGATGATGTCGCCCTTGAAGTTCATCACCTGCCCGCTGGAAATAAACGTGGAGTTACTGTTTCCAGTCACACTGCCTGCAGGGGAGAGGAAGAGGGAAGCGCAGAGTGAGTCAGGGATCCGGGCGGGAAGCCGGCCTTGTGAGGGATGGGGCCCCGGTGGACCCACCCCCGGCTCCTGACGTGCTTCGTCACCTCACCGGCCTGACCGAGAGAGGAAGGGCGCGAAGACGAGACACCTCAGGCGTCGTCGCCGGCCGCATGGGCGACACGCGGGCAGGATCGCAGACCCACAGATGGGTTCAGGTGTTGCCGACGGGCGCGCGCGTGTGACGGATGCGTCACAAACACGGCCGAGGGCGCAGCAGTGGTCCGTGTGCCAGGAAAGATGCAGAGGCTGGAGGGAAGGCTGCCGCCTGACCGGACCCTGCGGACTCTCATCTTTTTACCTCCCCGAGAAGCCCCTGAGCTCAGCCCTTGTGGGCTCAGTATCCAGCAGAAGTTAACTTCCTTAACATTTTTTTTTTTAACTCCTAGAACAAGAGTCATAAGACTAACATGAAAAGGAAAAAAAAAAAAATCAAACAGAAACAATCCTACAAATCACTGTTCCTTCTGAACCCTGAGGTGGGGGGGTTGTTTTGTCCCCAGGGTGTTCTATCATGAGCTTTTGTGGGTGACTGGATTTAGTCAGTCTTTAATTAGTGGGGCTTTTGAAAACCAAATAGAAAGTTCAATGAATGTTAGGACACCTACTGCCTCTTATTCTCCTATTTTAAAGACTGATTGCTCTAGAAATGACCCGGGTGAAAATCAGTGCCAGAAACCAAGCAGAAGCAGAAAAGCCCCAACCGTCAACAACACAAGCAGAATCTTTTAGTCTGACCAGCGAAGGTGAACAGCAGAACAGTGCCTCACTATTAACTTCATCTTTTTTGTTCCTTTTCTGTTATGACAAAGCTTAATAAAAACTTACACAAGTAAAACTGTTTTTGTCATTACTTTCCACAAAGAAATTTCCTCCAATATGGAAGGCATATTTTGGATGGTCTGACTGAAGAACCAACAGCATCCAGGGAATCGCAGGAGGCTTCCATCCACAAAGGGAACCTGCAGAGATGCTGAGACAGGCCCCGTGGCCCATTACAGGGATTTCAATGAAAACAGATTTCAAATATATGAGCCACAAATTGGAAGTCACAATTGAGGATTTATAACTCACGCTGTTTTTCCCGTGGGTAGCTGTGTTGCGTGTGCCCCTAGATGGGTGGTGGTGGGGATTTATTTATTAATTCCCCAAGCAACTTAGGGAAGGCCAGCTAGTATTCCATTCACCAACTAGCCAGACTGACCCACGTTCTCCATTCCCTCTAAAACATACAGACATGATCCAGCAACCCCACTCCTGGGCATATATCCAGAGAAAACTATAGTTGAAAAGGATAATGCAGCCCAATGTTCATTGCAGTGCTGTTTACAATAACCAAAACATGGGAGCAGACTAAATGTCCATCAACAGAGGAATGGATAAAGAAAAGTGGTACATATATACAATGGCATATTACTCAGCCATTCAAAAAGATGAAATAATGTTATTTGCAGCAACATGGATGGACCTAGAGATTATCATAGTAAGCAAGTCAGAGGAAGACATATGATACCACTTATATGAGGAATCTTAAAAAAAAAAAGGATATAAATGAACCTGCTTACAAAATAGGAGCGGACTCACAGAAAACAGTTAGCAAAGGGGACGGTGAGGGAGGGCATGACCGGGGCCTTGGCACTGCCGTGCGAAGGCCAGCAGCAGAGCACAGGGAGCCCTGCTCATGTTCTGCAATGCCCTGAAGGGGAATCTGAAAAAGAGTGGGCACACGTGTAACTGAGTCACTCTGCGGTCCGCCTGAAACTACACAGCAGTGCAAATAAAGCTGAACTCCAACACGAAATAACAATTAAGAAACATGTTCTCATAATCCAGCACACCCTAAGCTAGGGGTCTACTCTCCAGTATGCTGATGTATTTCTGCTGCCCCAGTTACCAAGTTCTCAGGTCTGTTTTTAACTAGTTGAATTCATGAAATCTAATTAAATACAAGCATACCTTATTTTCTTGCTTGAGTTTACACTGCTTTGAACACACTGGGTTTTCTATAAATTGAAGGTTTGTGGCAACCCTGCAATGTCAGATAATGTCAGCATTTTCTTGGCAATAAAGTATTTTTAAGGTATCTTCATTGTTTTTTAGACATGCTATCGCACTTAATAGACTGCGTTATGGTGTAAACACAACTTCATATGCACTGGGAAACCAAAAAGTTCATGTGAGTCACTTTACTGTGATGCGTGCTTTATTGCAGTGGTCTGGAACTGAACCTATAATATACCCAAGGTCTGTCTTTGTGTAAAGTTGTGAAATGTAAGTGTGAAAAAAGGCAAATGTTTCTAAGAAAACTAAAGTGAATGCTTTGCAATGACCCAAATAAATGTGAGCCACAAAACACAAAAGACATCAACAAGCTACTGAACTGGACAAGGCATCTGTTAAAAAAAGAAAACGAGTCTTTAAAAATGAAGGAGTTTACACTCAAATTTGTTCTGCAAAGATCTATGATTTCTCATTCCCCACTAAAGAAACAGAAATTGGAAATTATGATGGTGTGGTTAATGTGAAAAAGGCTCAGGAAACTATAATCAACCAACACATATGTCCTTGTACTAAAAAAAGTCGATGTGTGAATATAAGTTATATGTTTTAAGTTAAAGATGTTTAAGATATGAACTTGTAAATGACTTTTCGAGTAACTCAGTAACTAACCAAGCCTGATACAAGGGCTCCTACCATAGCACAGCAGCAGCAGAATGAATGAACATGATAACTAAAGTAAGAGAACTCTTCCTACTTGAGGGATCACTAGTTAGTTAACACAAAAGTCAAAGAGAGAAATAAAAAGTGATCCATGTATGCCATAAACATTCCATTCCAATTTAGAATATACCATGTTTACAATAAGTAATCTACTAATTTCAATGGCGTGCTAGTATCAGCCGCTCAACTTCGATAGCAAAAAGATTTGGGCTGCTTAGAGTGGTGTCTCACTCCCTGAAGAGCAGAAAGCACATGTGACTAGCGGGATGCTGGTTTCAGTGGCTGCCCGAGTCAAGGAGGGCCAGAAACGGGGCTGGGACGGAGGAGCCGACAGGCTCTGAAGTCCTGATCCTCCCCCAGCTTGGCCCCAACTCGCTGTGGAATCTGGGACAAACCATCTAACAGCGTGGTCTGCTCCTTTATGAAACAAGCATCAATATTCAAGCCCAGCTAGCATGGCAAGGTGCAGCCGCCAGAGCAGGCATATGATAAATGTGAAATGAATGGATATAGGAATGCGTGAATACCAGGCAGGACGGCAGAGGGTCGAATGAGATGGTGGCTTGGAAGACACTTGGGAAATAACAGAATTTTTCACAGGTACAAGGCTGGCATTACTACTCCCAGAATCTAATAGCTGTGCTCATGATACCCTCAAGGAAAAAAGGGAACTTGGAAATGTCTTGAGCAGTCATGTTATTTTTCCACTGCTGTCTTGTTGAAGGATTTCAACTGATCTTGAAGTCTGAAAGGGCACCTACCTCTAGATATCTAACCAACTTTTGTTTTCTTTGCTGAAGTGATCCATCACTCTAACCATCTCTGGTTTGAACACTCATCTGAGTAATTCTGCACAAATTACCCCACTATCTTGTTTTTCATCATGCAGGTTAGCTGTGAGTTGGATGTCACACTACAGTGGGTCAAGGTTCCTTTCTTTCTTTTTCTGGCTGGACCACGCAACATATGGGATCTTAGTTCTCAGACCAGGGATCAAAACTGCACCACCTGCATTGGAAACTCAGAGCCTTAACCACTGGACCACCAAGGAAGTCTGAGAGTAGGTCAAGGTTTTGACTGAGTTGGGATATCCTTATCTTGTGTTATGCCTCAGTCCAGAATTGTCCTTGCCTACAAGTAATCATTCCTTAAGATCTGCTTTCTACCATTTGGCGGGTTTTACACGGTCATGCAAACGGACCTGAGAGGGCGAGGCCCTGGGATGGCGAGGCAATAGGACTCCATATCCACACAGTGGGTGCTGCATGGTTGCTGTGGTTTCTGCAGTTGGTGCAAGCCCTGGAAGGGGTAGCTCTCTCCACTGAGAACCAAACCAAGCACGACAGGTTGTTCTGATGTCCGGGGAGACTTTTCTCTTGCTGGTGGCTGGTAAGGAGGGGATGCGAAGAAGGAATGGGGTGCATGAGACTTGTCCAAGATGCCTTAAGAAGACTTGAGGTCTTTATAGGTCCCAGTTGTCCACAGGGGCTTCCTCGGTGGCTCAGCAGGTAAAGAATCCACTTGCAATGCAAGAGTTGCAGGAGATGTGGGTTTGATCCCTGGGTCAGGAAGACACCCTGGAGGAGGGGTCTGGGAAATCCCATGGACAAAGGAGCCTGGTAGGCTACAGTCCACAGGGTCACAAAGAGTGGAACACGACTAAAGTGACTGAGCACACACGTACAAGCCACAGACCTCTGGGAATACAAGCTAAACCAGGCCAGTTGCTTCCCTCTTCCTCACTGTCTGAAGCTGTCTTTCTGCCAGCTTTCCCCCCATCATCGCGGCCCCTGGCATTTATTTCAACTTTATTTTACTTGCAAAACAGGATGAGGTTGGACGCATGTGGAAGAAAGAGCTTTCCTCACCAAAGAATCGGTCACTGCAACAGAGGGGACTCAGGCCAGGGGAGCCTTCACCTCTTCACACAGACACCAGCGTCTCTTCCCATGGAAACTTCTGGGCCTGGCCTGGCCACTGCCCCTCGCTCAACCTGAGTAGCCAGTGATCCCAGCCCAAGTTTGCCTGTATTCTGTGGCTCACTGAGGATTCTCCAGTGCATGATAAACCAATGAAATCAGTATCATTGGCACTGATTTATAGGGAGACAGTGCCATGGTTCAAGGCACAGGCTTCAGAATCAGATGTGTGAGTTGTGGTTTCATTGCTGACTCACTGTGTGGTCCTGGGTGAGGAATGTGCCCA